TGGAAGAACAGTGGTCAGCAGTAATTAACAAGGGTAGCAGGGTATTGTGGTGAATACCTTTAATTCCAACACTTGGGATGCAGAGGTAGGCACATCTCTAAGTTGGAGGCCAGGCTGGTCTACAGAGTGAATTCCAGGATAACCAGGGCTACACAGAGAAACTCTGTCTCAGAAAAAAAAGAAAGAACTATGGGGTAACAGAAGTGGCAATTATATTCTTAATTGTGAAATTCATTGCATGATTATACTTGTTAATGACCTATTTTTATTGGCATACAATATCAAAATCATGATAAAAAAAGAACCTCTGAAAATAAATTTGTATTCTACAAACTCTTCAAACTCTTAGATGTGTGCCCTAAGTTAAGTAACTTGACCTTTCTGTATCCAGTTTCTTCGTGGTGACAAGTCCACGTTAGAGGATTGTTATAAGGACTCAGTGTGTCAATGATTATGACACACTTAGAGCTGGTCAAGAAACTTACTGCTGATATTTCTCATTAAAACAGATATGATTCAAGACTTGAACATTCATCTTTTTCAACAGCAAAGACATTGCTGTTTGTCTGTCAAAAATAGAAATAAGGCCTGTCCTTTTCCTGTTTTGAGAGATATTCAAAACAGACATTCACATTCAAAGGGTAATTCTATTGTTGAACTGTTGAATAAAGAACCAAGAATGAACTTGCTACAGAGAGAAATTCACAGATTATTAGAAAGTACTTGTGTACATTGCTTTGGCCAGCCTACTTTAATGACCATCTGATGGAGTAGAGGGCTTCGAGTATAAGGACTGGACAGGATCAAAAGTTGGAGACTTGATCTCCTACCTTGCAAGCCAGCTGTGGTCAAGACCAGCTATCCTATATTCCTGAACTTTGAGTCAAAGGCTTAATCTCGCAGAAGGATGATGGATGTAAAGAGGTGGGCCTTCCTGTGTTTCCAACAGACAAGGACAATGACAGTGTTTCACTGATGAACATTATGTCTGTCATTGCAAGGTTAATCACTCATTTCGTGTAGATTACCAGTCTCCATTAAATACCTTCTGTATGGGAGTGAGTGATGATGTGCATGAATCACGAAATACAGTTTCTTGTTTTAAGAGGTCTGCATTTTATAGCAGGGACTTGTTTTAGATGGACAGCTAAAGGGTAACATTCTCTTTCTCACACTGCACATCACTGTCACAGTCTTTGGTATTCTGTGACCTTGGTTAGATCCTGTGAGTGTTAATCTCATTTACCTGAGCTACAGCTGTGGTTCAGAGAGGTTGACTGACTGATTGATCCAGTAGCTTACTTAAAATGGCTGACATACCAGCACTCAGGAGCCAGAGGCAGGTGGATCTCTGAGTTCAAGTCTAACTTTGTGTACAGAGCAAGTTCCAGGATAGCCATGGATACACAGAGAAACTCTGACTTGAAAAACAAAAACAAACAAACAAAGAACATAGTGGCATAGACTTTAAGCTTGTTGGTGGCAAGGGAATTGTAAAAGTATATAGAATTCCCCTGCATTACTGACACCATATCCTGAATACCAGGTGCACTCAATACAGGGTTTAAAATGGATGTGTGAGGTAATCCTAGTTCGATTTGGGAGTTGGAAGATTTGGTCTGTGAACAAGCCAAAGACAATTAAATCTCTCTCTGTTTTTTTTTTTAATTTTAAAATATGGAGATGACTAATACTGTCTATATTTTGTTTGACTGGAGGTAAGAGATATAAATATAACTATGTAAGAATTCTTCTGATGTGTATTTGGCAACTTTCTCCAAACTAAGACATTCCCTACTCATGATGTCTTCAAAACTGGAAAGGGACATTCTTCATTTATCCTAAGAAAGACAGCAGGAAAATTGAGATATCACAATCACCAGCAGGTTGATTTGTCTTCCCATCCACAAATGCAGAGCTATTGGACATACCCTGGGAAGCACTGGGGAATGATTACAATTCAGTGAACCAGATGGAAAAGCTTTGCATTGATTCATAGAATCCTAATTTACATATTTCTTCTGAGTTCAACCTCCACGAACTCTGGACCTACATTTTTCAGATTTCCGTGTATCTGTTTGTTTCTACTGGGAAAGTGAAGTGGATGGTAGTGCCGATGAAACATTTAAGGAGCAAACAGCTAAAATAATGCATTGATGGTACCACAAGTGTGAGGGGGAATGCTAAGTCTTTGCCATTTCATCAAAACCCAAACATCCCATTCCTTTATGGAGATCTAAGACAGGACTAATGTGTGTCTCAGGGCCCTGACAGTGGAAAGTTTTTTAGTCCTTACATGCCCAACTTGATAATGACCTGTCAAGACTGGAGGAGTTCCCATAGCAGGATCTGATTTCTCATTTCTTCTTCCATGGCTTCCCTTTGCCTCTCGGTATATTTCCCCTCCATCAAACACCCTGACTGTCCACGGCCACTAAAAATGTAAAGATTTGAGAATCCATGTTATCTTTATAGTCCTTTTTGAAGGAAGAGGGGGGGGCAGAGGACTGTAGTTTGGGAGGAATGTGACTGATTTTGAGAGTCTTCTCTTCTTCCAACATTATCTGTATGTATTGCACGTGTACGGTAAACAGTTATATTTTGAGAGCCGGAGAAGCTTTTAAGAGTTCTGGTGTATGTGCTTCAATCATAGAGGTTTCTACTTCATATTCTCAGAGCCTCTCCTCAGGAATCTGCATCTTTAGAGCAAACACCTCAGGTGAATCAGAAGCATTCAAAACACCACCATCAACTCTGTCATTCATTTGGTGTTTTCCTGTTGTCAAAATGCTTACATATGTATGTTCTGTTCTGTGAAGTAGAAGGGGACCATTATCTCCATTGTGAGGATGAAAAGAACTAAGTTGAGTTGATTTCCTTAGTTCCTCATTATATACATTACCACCTTCTCATTCACTCTTGAGATTCCCCTTAGCTGACCTTTTCCTGCTTGGGTGTTGATTTGCAAAAGACAGGGTCCTCCCCAAAGCCAGCCAGTACTATCTGTGCCTGCCTTGCTGAAAAATGAGACAAGTCTTCCTGGAGCCAAGGAAAGAAAATAATTTTATTTGTGGAAATTGAACACTTCCCTAATGGGCTGTGTTGCCAATTGATTTCAAGCAATCTCTTCGGTCTTGTCAGTTGTACTTTGGAGTGCATATCCTTTTCACCGGTCTTGATCTGTGTTGATCAAATTCCAGGAACGAATCTATCATTCCCCACCCAGCCAAACGGAGCTGCTACAAGGGTTTTATGTTCTCCCCCATTGACCCTTGGAAGCTCCCTCCTCCCACACCTTACCTACTTAGTACTCCTCTCGACTCCCAGTCACACCAGACCCTGTCTGCCAGTCTTTGCTTTGCCTGGACAGCAGTAAGGAAGGCCACACACCAGATCGCTGTCAGACCCAAGCACCTCTGTCCTTCTCGTGGCCCAAGGGAATCTCTGGTAAGCCAGCAGATTTGTACCCACATTTAGACAGTTCCTGGGTCCCTCTTTGAGTCTGGGCCCATTTTTCAGCCGTGTTCATGGCTGGTATCTTTCCCAACCTCTTAGGAAATGTCTGTCTCTGCTTGCAAATGATCTGCTGAATGGAGAGAGAGTGGGGCTCTTTGAAGACTAGTGGGAGAGAAGATGCAAAGGTGACTAAGGGGCACTCCCAGACAGACCATAGGCTGAACCAAGGAGGAATACAGGTTTCCAGAATCTCTAATGCTGTGTTTCCTTGGATGGCTCGGATTTCTCTTTCAGGAGCAGGGCAAACATTTCTGGAGACAAGAGTGCACTCCAATGCTGTTGTTCACTGTCCTTGTTCACATCAATCTATCATCCCACTTCTATTAACCCTCAAGGCAGGTTGCCTACGGAGACCTTTCTAGGCATTTGAATCTGCTTTGCAGCTTTCCCGACGGAAACAAGAAATCTAGGTTCCAAAGAGATGGAAACACAGTTTGCTGTTCCAAAATGTGGTGGGGGCAGGGAGAGGGGGGAGGCAAATTTGGGTAACCAGGAGGTCATTGCTACTTTCTCTAGTGTCCACTTTTTTTTTTCCTGAAGGAAGAATGCTACATGCTTCTGGTCACTAGAGAGTGGGCAGATTTCATTTCCCTGCTCCCTGCACTGTCCCCTTCTTTGGTCACCCAGGGTCCTTCAACAAGCCGGTGGAGGTGTTTTTCTCTTGGGGGAGGGACCGGACACAGCAGACCCAGGCTGCAGTTCCCTCACTCTGCCTCTGAGAATTTCTCATCCAAACCTCAATCACGTAGGATTGCGTAGAGAGGAGAAAAGGGGAGAGACAGAAGACAGAGAGGGGGGAGACGGGTGTGTGTGTGTTGGGGGGGGGGGGAGGAAGGAGAGAGTCTGGGAGCAGAGGGCGCGAGGAAAGGGAGCAGGACCCAAGCGCCACGCTTTCCAGCGCTCCGCCAGCCCAGCCCCCAATTCAGCCCCACTAGGACGCTTTCCTGCTCTCCAGGAGCTGGAGCAACTCGGGCTCCTAGTCGCACCGGGCTGTCTCGGCGACAGTCGCCTCTGCCGGGAGTTTCCTGCGGAGCTAGCGCTCGCGGAGATAGCCCGCGGCGGCGCCCAGGAACCTCTGCCCATGAATGGGACTCCGCCCTGAGCGCCCCCTCCCGGTCCAGGGGAGGCGGCGGGGGGCGCCCCGCGATCCCGCGGCTCCCAGCCGCCACCAGCGCAGCAAGTTGAGCGAGTTGGTGGCCGCCTGCACCTGCCTCCCGTCCCCGGCCCCTGAGTCCGCGCCCGGCCGGGGG